AAGAGCAGTGTGACATCTGAAGCAAGCGCATCGATACTATGATAATAATCATTGTTTATGGTGCATTAACCGTTTTCATATTTCATGTTATTATTTATTGACTGTAACAAGACAATTAAAAAAAAACATAATGATTTTTTCAGATCTATCGGGAAATCTTAAAGGAATCTAATTGAATAAAGTACGATTGAACATAGTTTAAGTTCAAACACGAAAATGTTGTATCGAGTAATTAAGACATGGTAATTGCCTTATTTCCAGACTGGTTCCGTCGAAACTTTCTCCCTAAAATGTATACATGCATGTAGTTTCAGAATAGGAACGAGCTGTTTAGAAGGTAAACACTTTGTTCTTTCATAGGACGCCATTTTAATTATGCATAACACATAAAATAACAAAACGTCATCATGTTCTAATTGATTCTTGATTTCTATACCATATGGCACAATTCATATCACAGTTAGAGGTATTTCAATCTAAGTGGTCCATCTTACTCTACAGTAGTTCTTTTCTATGTGCGTGTACTAGCCAGGATCATACTGTTTGTTAAAAGAAAAATTGATTCAGTAGAAAATAGCAGAACCGTGACTGGACCCGTATCTCATGTGTTCACTAGTTCTACTATTTTCTACTGCAACTATTATCCCGCACCGGACCCCGGACATCGTCTATTCCCACCTCAAACCGACGAACTGGTTAAATAGGATGAGAGGATTAACATATAAACAATTTCAACCATTGTACAGATGCAAGGTGTTTTCATGTAGTAAAGCCACTTTATTCCATTGATTTACATTTTTTCCCAGTATCAGTTTCCATTTTTTTTTTCATATAACATATTAGCTGAACTTTTTTTTAGATTTCTTTTATAACAGTTTGTTACCGGTCTTTGTAATTTTAACCAGCAAATGGACACAGTCGCTATTAATGAATCATTTCAGTGCAATAATTATCAGTCCATCCAATACCTGGTTGAAAGAAGAGGTTTCATTGAATGCATCACCTTCCGAACGATGTAGCTCATTATATATTCATGTTTGAGGTTCTGTTTTGATATTTCTTTATGCCTGTGTAAACAGTATGTAGATATAAGCTCCGCCCAATAACAGACTACTTTAATTATTCAATTAGATTGACGGAGCCGAAATGACACTTCCCTGAATGATGACGGTATTTTCGAAATTCCCTCGAATGTGCACACTCCAAATTCCAAACATATTATCATGAATTCTGGACTTATTTCGAACTAGTCTGTCTGCTTTCAATAATTGCATTTCCAACGTGGCCGCTCCGTCAACTTTCAGGCAGTGAGACAGTAAACTATAAATAGGATGACCAATTGCTGATTGACTGTTTTGGGGACGTCTCTATTGTTAGTATCAGTCCATTAGCGCTATGTTAAAATGTTAATTGCTATGTGGATTTATACAGCGTACAGAGATTTTTTTCTGTTTAAACATCGATAAACTAAAAAATGTTCAGGCCATTCCTTTAATAAATAGAGAAGCAACGCCGTAATCGTACTTGAATTGATTTTTGGTTTTCAATATAATCATAATAATTACTATTGTTAGTATAATTCTATATTTAGATTACTACTTATAGATATTCATCTCACATTATCAATTTTCTAAGGGTTATATATCGATTTCAGTTGTTAGTCTTCTTTGTTTCCGTTTGAAAAACATGTATTCAAAATGGATACAAAAATAGGTTATGACAAACCTAAATAAAACATTGTTTCGCTTGCTAGATAATTGTTTGTTTGATAATTGAGTTTCGTGTCTTTTCAAGGTGATCATTGTGTAAATAGAAATTTCGACATAAATGTTTTTCTAAAATGTCAACTGATTGATAACCATATGCAATGAGCCAGTCGAATTGTTATCATCATGAAATGCTGAGACTTCAGTGTTCAAAATTCTACAACTCTTACGCCAACCATTAGATTTTCTTGTCTTATTTAAGTTATGGCAATGGTTTGACGTTCTGTTAATAGCTTAAGATGAGTTAATAAGATTGTTGGTGGAAGGTCTTGTAATTGCCTGTAAAACTGAAACTCATTATCATTACTGATAGGCTTTCTGAAGATACTCTTCAAAACTGATACTGATACTTCATTACTGATAGGCGTTCTGAACACAGTCTTCAAAACTGATACCCATTATCATTATTGATAGGCTTTCTGAACATAGTTTCCAAAACTGATACCCATTATCATTATTGATAGGCTTTCTGAACACAGTCTTCAAAACTGGTATTGATACTTCATTACTGATAGGCGTTCTGAACATAGTCTTCAAAACTGGTACTGATACTTCATTACTGATAGGCTTTCTGAACACAGTCTTCAAAACTGGTACTGATACTTCATTACTGATAGGCGTTCTGAACACAGTCTTCAAAACTGATACAGAAACTTTATTACTGATAGGCGTTCTGATCACAGTCTTCAAAACTGATACCCATTATCATTATTGATAGGCTTTCTGAACACAGTCTTCAAAACTGGTACTGATACTCCATTACTAATAGGCGTTCTGAACACAGTCTTCAAAACAGATACTGCAACTTCATTACTAATAGGCGTTCTGAACACAGTCTTCAAAACTGATACCCATTATCATTATTGATAGGCTTTCTGAACACAGTCTTCAAAACTGATACAGAAACTTTATTACTGATAGGCGTTCTGAACACAGTCTTCAAAACTGATACAGAAACTTCATTACTGATAGGCGTTCTGAACACAGTCTTCAAAACTGATACAGAAACTTTATTACTGATAGACGTTCTGAACACAGTCTTCAAGACGGAAACCCATTATAATTACTGATAGGCTTTCTGGACACAGTCTTCAAAACTAATTCTGATGGCTGAACATAGTCTTCAAAACTAGTACTTATACTTCATTACTGATAGGCTCTCTGAACAGTCTTCAAAACTGATACTCATTATCATTATTGATAGCCTTCTGAACATAGTTTCCAAAACTGATACCCATTATCATTACCGATAGGCGTTCAAAACTTCTATTGATACTTCATTACTGATATCACATAGACTGTTAGTAGTATTAACCCTATGGTAAGCGAATAATTTATAGTTCATTGGTGCCATTGTTTGTTGTGAAATCATTAGTTTTCACATCTTTCACTATCGCTTCTTCTAGACTACCCAAGATCTTTTATTGATCACTGTTTAAGAACACAATAAATAGAGAATATTATAAGACTTGTGTTGCCAAACTTCTAACGACTCAGACGTGTAATCAAGTTTAATCATTTTAGAAAAATATTATTTTTTTTCATGAAATTGAGTTATGATCTGAAAATCAATTCTATTTTTGTAAGTAGGATCATAATCTTTTTATGTGTTAGAAAGTTGACATCACAACCTCGAGGCCTGTCTCCAAATTGTGGTAGCCTATACGGCACGTAAGATTTTAATGGTTCTTGTTAATGTATTGTTAAAGATTAAGGAACAGCTACCCTACTTCCCCTATAAATGATGTAGGTAGGAGAGGCTGACATGGAAAAAGCGCCTAGTTGTTCAGATTGAACAATAAGCCAAAGCCCCGTGTGCTACAAACAGTGAACATCTGATAATCCATTGTTACCAACTAAGTGAATTAAGGCATCAATATAATGAAAACATATAAACTGGATTACACCTTGAAGAAAATCCATTTTCTCGCATGTTTTCCTGATGCATTGTTCGTCCTCGTTTTTCAATCTGCATAGAGTTTATATTGTTAAAGCTATTCACTTATAGATATCAAATAAGTCTGCAATTTGTTGTCTAGTAAATTGTTCAAGCAATTATCCACGAAACTTGCCTGTATAAGCGCGACTTATGTTGCCACAAAAAATAAGCTTTCTTTCGCACAAGTAGAAAAAGTAAATCGAAGTTTTCAAATTTATCGGAACTGACCGATAAGAACGTACCCAGGGCGTACAGACTCGATGCCTTTTATTAGCCAGTAAATTTGAAAAATGTCATGTTGAGCTTGTAGTACATGTTATTTCCAGTTCCATGTTGTAGTAACGAGTCATCTATAAAGTTAAAGAGTCCGATAATGAAGCTTTTCAAGTTCCAGCAGAAACGCGGTCATTGTGTTGTGTCTGAGAATTAACTTAGTTATGTTGCTTAACATTCCATTGCTGTGTTCGGTTGGAAGAAGAAAGAAAGAATCAATGTTAGAGACTAGTGATGGATGCCATTCCCACCCCATTAGATTCTATTCTGATCAGTTCAATTTTCTCCAATTAGATTTCCTTTTATTTTATTCTTATAGCGTGCCATCACAGGACAGGTTGAGATTTTGTTCATTAAAGTTTTCTCTGTAGATTGATAACACAATTGTTCGATTCCTAACATCATGCCAAATTAAAGATGGATTACTACTTTTTAGAAAATATAATTCTTACGTTAAGAAAACTAAAGATGTGTTCAAGTCGACAATTGAAGTAGTTCAGATCGACGGTTAGATGCATTTTTTCGCTGGATCATAGTCTGCAAATGCCTCTCGTCCAACCGCAGGTGGTTCAGATGTATTAAATTCAGCGATTGATAAGATTTTCCAAAAAGCCGCTATATTTGACCTGCTCTGAAATATTCCCAGTCAGAAGGTTAATTTTGGGGTCTTTTAAATGACGAATAAGTCTAGTTCTATTTGGCACATTCAAAAGCAATGGCTGTCTTTTGAGCCATTTAAACTTAGTAACACCCTTCTCTGCAGAACATGTATATGTTGTTTCACCATGATAATGAATTGACACAAATTGATTTTTATTATTTATTTTAGTGAGATTTCACTGGTTTGCGATGTGTTGGCTATTGACTATCAATATTTTCATTATAATCATTATTAGTGTAAAGTCGTTCCAGCACACCAAATTATCTTGAGTTTATTACGTTACTATACTAAGATTCCAGCCATCGACCAAGTGATAAGAATTGAGGCGGAAACTAGGGAATATAACGTGGTAGACAGGACATGATTTAGCTTTTGTTGTATGTCGATTATCTTGTCAATTACTTTACTTCTTTAATATGAAGTTAATGACGTATCTGGGAATATCTTTCACTAACCAGTGTGTGTAGAATGGTGCTTTTCTGGATTATGATTCTTCTGGAGAAACGGTAATGTACCATATAACTTATGTATGAATTTGAGAGAGGTGTTTTAGATCAGACTTTTTAGTGGAATAAGTGTTTTGTTTTTACCATCTTAGTTACTTATGAATTTTATAACAATTATCACGTTAGAATTACTTTTTCTCAATAATTGTATGTTCGGAATAGGAGGCTTGCTTAGTCCTACTCATTATCGTTAATAAAAAAAAATGAGAAATAATTACGTATCCTATTATGATTTGTAGACTGAATAATTAATACATTTGTTAAAAGGGGATGTTCTTATCGGTAAATTGAAAAGATAGTGCACGAAAATCGATTTTTAATTTGAAATTGCAAATGCTGAATAATTAAAGTTACTAAATTTGGTAATGTTTTTCAATCCCGGCCTAGGTCGAGATAATACCTTGGGATTTTTCCCCCTGTCGGTGATGCAGGTCGGAAGGGCAGACATGAAAAAAACGTCTTGTCGTTCAGATGGGACAATAAACCTAGGTCCCGTATCTTGTATCTTGGCTTCTCAGTTGCCCACTGTTCTAGTATAGTAGGCTAGAAGTTAGGAATCAAAAGATCATATTTTTTCACAAACATAAGCCAATGGTTTCTAACTCATTTTACATACAATTTAAAAAGTATGTACCTAAGGAAGGCTTTTAGAGAAACTAACAAAACGAGATGTATTGATAATTAACAAAACATTGCTGCAGTGATATCTATTCTCATCAAAATCAACTGAGACTCAATTTGATTCTCTGTGATAATTACAATACACATTATATAATATCTCGTGTGGCGTTGAACAAACAGTACAGTTGATATGATGATATGTTTTTATTCCCCTGGTACTTTAAATTTGAATAATGATAAGAGACCATATATAGTCGAGTAAAGATATTATTGCTCGTCCGGGTAACATAAAAACATAAACATAACCAGTTTCCACTATTTTCAAATGTATAAAAGACAACGCTTTTGGAAGCTTTGATTGAACTGAATATTAACATAGGACTAATAAAAAATATACTTTTGGCTTCACTATATCTATATATATTATACTATGTTCATAATACAGAAAGCAACTTAAGCAATGTTGTTTGTTTTCAATACTGCATAAAATGCTGTCGGTAAAATATTTCTGAAAAAAAATGAACTGCAGTCGCACCAATGTTTTAGTCTTTAATGAATTGTAATAAATTTTTGGTCGTCATCGTTGTTGGTGTGTCTGATATATGGTATTATTATTTTTTTAAATTAAAATCTGCGGTCATGGTAGTTTTTGCAATGGAGGCAGTTGCTGCAAATCGATTCCCATGCGATGTACTCCCGAGACCGTCTATTGTCAATCATAAGCTATAAATTTTAAAACAACAGCTGTTATCAATGTTATAACTAACTTTTTTAATTGACATTAAAATCAAATCATATATAAGAACCTGCCGGCAAGAATGGTTAAACTGAAGGTGAGTAATGTTGATTTTTTGTTAGAGCTATTGAAATTTCATTTTATATAATATAAAAACATAAAATTCCAATAAGAGGTCCGCCAAAAGTAGAATAATAAGTTAAAGTAGACCAATAACAACGTTAAATATAGTTATACTAGATGGTATATTCTATAAACAATTAGTATATACAAACCTTGTATTAGTTATCTGGAAGAGCAAATAGCTTCGAAAATCGAAATCACATTCAGTGAAATGAAACAATATTTCGAGGACTGGTGGAAAAGATTTCTACATAGCTTGGATCCATTCAGAACCAGAATTGGATGCTTTCAAAAATATTATTAATACGATTCATCTTAGTATTGAGTTCACGTTGGAACAAAATAACACACAAATATCATTCCTTGATATACTTGAAGTACAAAAAGAAAAAATAATAGAAACCGATATTTTCTATAAATCGACAGATACGAAACAACATCTTCAGTTTGATTCAGGTCATCCAAAACGTACTAAAATACCGCTTTTATACAACCTTGCCAAACGCATTTGTACCATCGTTTCAAATTTACTAGATGATCTTGCTTCTTTTCTTGGACAGGAAATATCCATGATCACAGATGGAATTTGAAATGCTTAGCAATTAACACTACAAGAATTGCGCACAGTCAAACCAAAATTGAAGGAAGAAAATTCACTAGTCTTTGTTTCTACGTTTAACCCGAGAAACCCAGTTTTATCAAATATCATTGTCAATTATGTTAAATCAAAAAGAAAAAAAAAAGGAAAAACTGCCAGGTGCTTAATGTAAAGGTAAACTCTGTGGTTTATGCGAATAGATGGTTGAATGGTCATCTTTTGAATTCTCAACGGGTCAAATATTTACTGTGAAAGCTACTTTGACATGTGCAAGCATGTTTGTTATATATGCCATCAGAACCAAACATTGATGTCTGTGCACGGGGCATTACCCCCAACGTTTTGGTCTTGTCCAGCCAAAACAGCTTACTTATGGGAATAAATCAATCATATCACAATATCATGACGTCATATCGTTGTGTATTGTAATGTTACTATGCCTTGAAATATGGAATTAAAATATGCTGGCAGTATTATATAACTATATGTTACGTTGTTATTGATCTACTTTAACTATACATATAGATAAGTAAATAGCACATAGATAGATTTACTGCCAACACGTTTTATCTATACGTTTCCATATTTTCAAGGTATAGTAACAATGACGTATACATTGATACAGTGTCAACCAATTTAAAATTTTGAATAATAGTGCAGAACGTAAATCATGTTTTTCATATATATATACTCTAATATACTCCTTGCGGCGGTTTTAGTAATCGTAGCAGTTTTATTACATTTTGGTATGTCTAAAGTTTGGAATATTCTGATCTCTGTGTCATACTGGTTTCCGTTTCCCTTTTCGTAAGGAGATGGATGGAGTTGCAAGTCTCTCAAATAAATATATCGTTTCATGAAGCAATTTCCTGAAATACAATATATTTAAATCATCAAAATAGGTCAATAAGAGTATAAAATTCTTAATATTTTCTGAATTGAAAGAGAACACATGCATATTATTGTTTAAGTTTAGATTAATCATACATGAATTTTTGTAACTTCAAATTACAAAAATTACACTTCAGTTCCCTCCAAGATAGATATTTCACAAACTGAGCTGAGAAACAGATCCCTGGTGATTTGGCCAATTTGGGCTTATAGTGTGAGTAAAGCAAAGGGTTTTTCTTTGAATATTTTCTATATTTTTGAAATAATACTGTTTGACTTACATCAGAATGTCTTTACGTTGATAAAAATTTGATTTTAACTTTACATTGAAAATAAAAATATTTCCCTGGATCCAAGAAATTTCAAACAAAAAATGCAAAACTTTGGCCAAAAATTGACATAATGTGAGCTCATGTTTATATTTTTATTAACGCAAATACCTTTTAAGACTGACAGTACTATTTTGAGTCTGCAGTTCCAATTCACATACAAAAACCGTTTTTAATTTGCTCAGACATTAGCAAATAGAAATGTTTATCGAACCAACATCAAACCGATTGAGCCCTTTCTGGACTGCTAAAATGAAATTTGATGATCACACTGATTAAGAGAAAATTTAAAATCATGGCCATATTACCTGCTGTTTCGTCTTTCATCATGTCCACTATTCTTGATGAGTTAGAGTCCCGAGCTGTAAATCTACCTTGCGCCATTTATTCTGGGACAGGAATCTACTCGGCCGAACTTTAGTGGGAAAATTACGGCCTTTGAAACCACCTGACAAACGACTGATGAAATACGACTGATGTTTGGGTGCTGTTCGGTATTTAATCATATTGGGGAAATTCTCACTTCTTTATCCAAATGTAACTCAATGAAATGTAACCAATGAAATGGCGTAATATTCATTTGAATGTCGACATAACACACATCCAGATGTCAACATGTAATCGTGGTTCAAGGGGGGACAACTTTCGATGACACTATTTGAGGTGTTTTGTGGGAAGGAAGCACTATTTCTAGTGTAAATGAACACTTGAAGGTATGAATAATGGTACACACGAAGCAGTGTAATGATTAACAATTTTAGGTGTATAATTACACTTAGGGCACAATAAGAACTTAAATAAGCGTAACATTACACGATATCTAGTGTTTTAAAGAATACGTAATAAATCATGAAGGTGTAACCCAAAGATTACCCCAATTAGATTGTGAACAAGGTGTAAACACTTCATAAGTGTATTCGTGCACTAAATCAAGTGCTATCGGGGTGTTTTTAACTTACACCTCATAGGTGTATTTCAAAATCATTCAATTACACCTTACATTACACCGATTTGGGTGCATAATTACACCTTGTTTTTACAGTGTAGAAAGGAAATACCAAAACGTTGGGGGTTATGCCCCGTGCACAGACATCAATGTGCTCACTCAGGGGGATCATTCTTATTTTGAGATCCCGGAATATTTTGTTTGTGTTTGGCCATTCTTTTCCGCAAATTGTTTGTACAGCCGATGCACAGTCCATTCATCCACAACAGGTGATATCATATATAACAAACCTGCTTGCACATGCCATGTTAGCTTTCACTATTAATATTTGGCCCGTTGAAAAATGAAAAGATGAGATGACCCTTCAATCAAATAAACCACACCACATTAATGAGTTCGCCATTAGATTTAAGTACCTGGCAGTTTTCTTTTTGGTCTGGTTAATATACTTCTCAAATTTTTGGGTTGTCTTTTTGACTTAACATAATTGACCTTGTTAATCACGGAATCCATTCGTTGATTTTTCGCAAGAATCGGAAAGTTATTAACAATGATATTTGATAAATCTGGATTTCTCGTAGAAACGTAGAAACAAAGACTAAATTGACTTGTCTTCCTCCCTCTACCTCTCCCTTTCTAAGACAATATCGTGACGCCATATCGATGTATTGTCATATGCTTTGTGCATGGAATTGAAATAATTTATGTTAGCAGTATATATTAACTACCTTTAACGATGTTAATTTACTTTGTCTA